GCATGGTCTATCTGGATGATGAACGTCCTGTCATAAAGGTAGTGGCATAAGCACTTTAGAAGAAGACTATTGCGTGCAACTGTTTCTTTGTTGTACAGTATTTGCGTGTGGGATCTGTAAGCATATAACTAGCATATGTGATTACACATTCCACTCTTTCCTGCACTGGAGTCTCTGTGTAATAAAAACTCACAGTCTTAGTGTGGATGGGCTAATAATGGAGTATCCACTAAAGTTAGCTTTAGGAATTGGAATTCAGGGTCACATTCCTTGCTTCATCCAAAGTACACGCTCACTTTCATGAAAGCTGACACTGGTGCAGCTATCTTAAAACTTTTGATAACAACTTGTCAGTGATATGGTGCAAAATCACTCAGCGGGATCTTGCTTTTGTATCCTCAAAGGCACACATCAAGTTTCACCCAGCCCTTCAGAGCTGAGCTGATTACTGAACTCTTTGTTGCGAATTGTCTACTGTGATTCCCTCCTCTAAGCTAGGGGCCAAATCTGAGTTTGGTTTTACCACTTGAACAGACGACTAACCACAAAAAGTACCTCTTAATGTTGGTCTTTGTACCACTGTTGGACCATCATTAGGTACTAATGTTTCTGTTGACCCTGCTATCAAAATATGTATAGCCATGCAGGCCACCCAACATCAGCCGAGCCATCAACGGTATCCAACAACCCTACCTATGCTCTTTTATTGTTAGGTTGGATATGGTCAATGCATCTACCAATGCCTCACTAACCCATAAGCGAAACAGGTAATATCATTCCTCTCATCCAGGAAGCATCTGAGTGGAGATGCTCTCAGTAACTCAGCATATGCCCCAAGGAAGACCTGGATAGCCCTGCCCATTCACTGGAAACTAGTGTGATTGTACTGCGTTATCAATCCAGTTCACACTTCCCATGGATATAGCCCAATATGGTGAAGGCACTTAAGCAAGACTATCTATCTGCAGAACTGCCATGATAGCTGTTGCCACAAGCTACTTCCTTTTCATCAGTCAGCCTTATTTTACCACTTTAAACCTGATTGTTAATTATACTGCTTCGGTGAGGTTGAGGATGCCCTTCACACATAGGTTTACCAAGTGGGTTCATTGGGATTCTCTCTATGAACTTATCAACTATAATATCATCCTTATCTGTGGATGCCATTACCAGGTATGCCTACCCATGTAGTCACTTCAGACTGTCTACATAGATGGCCAGTCCCTCAGAGTTAATCCTCTTCTGAGCCTTGAACTCAGCCTTATTAATTTTCTGATTCTCCACTGCATTGAATTGTCGATGTAGCTCAAACATGATTGTCTTCCAGTGTTCTTGTGTTCAATAGCATCAAAAGCTGGACTGTTTAATTTAATAATCAGGCTTTGCACAGCCAGTTACTTGCCTGAAATTATTTAGGAACCAGCCTAAATCCTCTTTCACCACACCTCTGTACATCAAGAGCATGATCTACTTGGCTTTATTAACAGGGACCTTTGAAGCTTGCGAAATTTCTCCCTTTCAGGATCTTGACTAATAACGGGTGGAAGTGCCACTGATGTTTTCAGTCTAGATGAAAGCTCAAAGATCCTAACACCCAAACAGGCAGTTGATCATTATCCAAAAGTGATGGGGTACAAGCTACTCAAAGCATTTCGTCATACAACCCAGGTATCATGAGTCATTGTCAAGGTCCTGGGAAATCTTTCATTCTTGAAAGGTGCATCACCCATGATTCACGGTTTTTACCCATGGGTGACCATTTTCTCACCTGCTGTAAAAACTAGTCTGACTGGCAGATATCATCTATCAGTGGCATGTCCAGCCTTTCTCAATTGGTTATCGGTTGTCTGGACCAGAGTTGGGCCATGTGTGATCTGACTGTACATAGTTTAGGATTATTGAAGGAACCTCTCCACAATACCTTGGAGTTACCAGGGGTTATTGTACTTCATCAACGCTAATATATCCACACTTCCCTTCCACTGAGATTGATTCAATAGTCTGGATGCTCCACAAATAAACAAATTCCGCTGGCTCTGCTGTTGCAAGCTGACTATTGTCATTAACCTTTGCAACATGGGCGTCAGTCCTATATCCAAGAGAGAGCTTCTCCTAAACTCAACACTTCTTTCCTCCAGTAGCAACCCCCCTCTCTTGGTCATAAGTACTTCTACATCCAAAATAAGCCATTCTTTTAGGAAAAGTATTTCTTTAAACTTTTAACCACAGAGAAAAAGCTAGGGCTAGTATACACATTGGAAAACTCTGCAATAATCCTTTGTTCATGGAACTAAAATTCCTCCTTCCTATCTACTTGTAGTATTCTCAGGTGCAACTTATTTCTTCACAAGTATTAGATACTATATAGGTTCAATTTAACAGAAAACCAGAGGAATAATCTGTATTTCAAAATTTGACTGAGTTTTCTTGTGTGAAAAAAAAAGACTGGACAAGTTTGACAGAAAGTTAACATAATCTTTATTTAAATCAAACAAAAAGTGCAATGTGTGTAATTGTGCAAGCAAGTAAACAATTGCTAGTACACGATTGTGGTGTAGCTTAATTAATTAATTAAATTGTCAACTTTCCATTTCTCGAGATGAATCTCTAGTAAACTAGTAATGATCTAAAACCAGATGGAACTAAGAAAGAATAAATGCTTTGATCTTGCAAGAAAGCTTGTATTATTTCACCTGCAAAGGCTTTACCATATGACTGTTGTTTTCTCACAGCATTCACCAGTTGTGAAAAACAGACACCATTCCTTCAGCCAGCAAATGACATTGAAATCATTGACCCTTCCAGTACTTAAATAAGGTATACTGCAATATTCCATAAAGCAGAGTAGACACTATCTGCTATAGAAAACAAAGAAACAAAAGAACTAGAACAAAGGAAGCTCCAGTAGTTTTCTGGAACACGTGTTTATGCTAAAACTGCATATAAACTAAATAAATGAAAAACTTTAAAGATTCCTATATTACTAAAGGATGTAGAAAATATATGATATGCCTCAATATAACATATCTACAGAATGTCTCAAGCTACAATAATCCTGTTTGATATTGAGTACATGTGATGTTCTTAGTGACTAATCCAGTCCAGCGAGTAAAAAAAGGTGATAGGAACGTAATGATTTCCTTCAAACTTTCCTTACTAATCACAAGTACATAAATTTGGAAAAAAATGCATTTTAGCTGAAGAGTAAAAATGTATGACAAACTTTCTCATCACAGAAGAGCTCATTCTACCTTCTATAAGTGTTAGGGCTCGAATTAACACATTAATGATATTGATAGGAGCATAAGTGGTAACATAGCAAAATTTGCTGATGACATTAAATTCTTTGGTATTTCCAGATGTATTTCCAGGATGTGGATGTACTACAGAATGACATCGTTCAATTGGTAAGTTGTACAAACATATAACAAATCATCTTTGTTTATATCAATATGCAAGGTAATACATTTGAGTTATCACAATTTGGATCACACGTTGAACATATACGGGAAGCCACTCAAAAACGTAACTGAAAAAAATGTTCTTGGCACAATCATGGATAAATCATTCAAGCCATGGAGGTAATTATCTTGTACAAGTTATAAGGCTAATAGAATTTTTGGGCTATATTTATAGACACAGTGGTGGGACAGCGGTAAGTCTTCAGATTTACAACACTAAAATCATGGGTTCGATTCCTCTCTGTGGAAACAGCAGATAGCCCGATGTGGCTTTGCTATAAGAAAACGAGCAGAAAAACTCCATACAAATCACTAGTTGTGATACTGTGCAGCCTTTACCTTCTTATCTAAGTAAGGGTATTTAATCATTGAAGCGAATTTAGAGTAGGACAACTAGAATGATTCCAGGAGTTACAATTGTTATTTATAAGGATAGGTTAATGTCTCTTAACTTATTTTCTCATGAGAAAAGAAGAGTAGGAAGTGATTTTTAGTGAAATATATAATATTGTTCGGGGGATCGATAAGCTAAATGCCTCTGGTTTCTTTGTACTGTAGTTTTTGAAAACAATAGGACAAAGGGAAACAAGCTTAAGATTTATAAAAGACAGTCTAGGCTCCAGTTAAGACACTTTTATTTTTCTTACGGGGTGACTGGCTTACGGAAGTAATTTGTTACGACAGCGGAAGTCGCGTGACGCTGGGAGCATGCGCGCTGAAGTTTCTCGAAGAATAATGAATTATGGAGTAACCCCGCAAATGTCCGAGTGTTTGCTAGACGCCCTCTTTTTCAGTATATAAGCCTGGCGAGAAAAACTAGCGGGATCGGAGATATGGATAATTGAGTCAAGCGAACAATAGGAACTGTAAGTAAAGTGTGTGAATCACTGTGATTTATAGTGTGTGTGTTATAAAAGTAGTTAAGTTTAACGTATTGATTGGAAATTCTGTGTATTACAAAGTTTGTGTCAGAAAGAATAAACTGGTTTTAATCAAGAAAGGACTTGTATCGCTGAAGTTCCTCGGAAAGAATTTCTACCGGAAATTATCAAACAAGCAGACAGCAACAAATTGTCATCAGCAGTAGAATGGGTTTAAATTTTTACTTTTCTCAAAGGTGGACGTGCAAGGACAACCTTAAAGGACCAAATGCTTCTTTGTTGTACGTATTTTATATTTTGTTCATAGATGGCATGGGCTTCACTTTTGGTCCTGATAAAGAAGAGACAACTAACTCTTCGATAACACTCGAGCTTTAGGGTCGGTTTTTATACTTTTACAAGTTTTGGTTTATAACTAAACATATAACTTGATAAAAGAAAAATGTTGTTCATTATATAGGTAATTAAGAAGCTAATATAGATTGCCATAGTATTTCTTTTCTTTTTAATTTTCTCATTTGAAGCAATATTATCAAAAGAATGGCCAGTATGACATCTTCAAATTTTCAGCATACAAGCGTATCATGTTGATACAAATATTTATTACAGATATTCCCACTAGAGTCCACTACCATGCAGCAGTTTGCTGTGCTTCTCCATTTCTGTTCATGACGTAAACTATAAATCAGTGACCACTAACGTCCATTAGGGTGATATTTGTTTGATGTTGAATTAGGTTGTGAAAGAAAAATACTGAACTAAAATGTCTTACGCATATCTCTTTAAGTATATAATTATTGGAGATACAGGTGTGTATTTGTTTTGATTTTTTTAGGGCATTTGCAATTTCGTATTTGTAAAAAGGTTATTTTAGCAGAGGATAATGATAAATCAGTTATCATATGACTCTGTGTGAGTTACTGAGTGTGATATACATATAATTATTATGTCTAATAACGTAGACCTAACCCTAGTTTACCAGATTTAACTGTAAGTGGCTATGTTGCATTTTTTGTTGGAAGGCAAGAAGATATTGCGACAGGGCTGACATAGCTTTCACTTGATAATCAGTGATATTGATAAAGCGCTAGTCAGTGGCCAATATTCCACCAAATGCCCTTTAATATAATTCAAATGTGAGGTAATATATTCTTAATCTTAGCATCTTAATCAAATATCAAAACATTTGAAGGGTACATATTGAACAGGAATGCAAGTTATTACATTTACACGTTTTAGTAGGCTTGCCATATTTAATAATTATAATGATATATTTGAAGAAGATAGTCACAAAAGTTCATAGTAGTTTCAACAGAGCACTTAGTAATTGATTTAATGAAAAACAGTTTCTCCATATACTGACTACATGGTCTACATCTGAATAATAACTGTAGCCTAAAACAGAGGGTTGCGTGGGTTATATTAGAATGATTTTGAATTTGCAAGTCAAGTGAAAAACCATAGATGATATAAATATTGTGCTGGAACAGAATGTATCAGAACTACATCTCGACAGTGGTATTTAGTAGGTAATGTAATGTCATCCAAGATTGATCATTTTTCAAAAGTCATGTAACAGCTCTTTTTGGGCACAAATTATTCACACTTCAGAGTATAAATATGTATTCAGGTTGGAGAGTTAGAATTTCCAAGGCAGGGATATCATCTTACTTAATGACATTGGGAAACAAAAGAATATGGATCAACTTGGGAAATTAAGACCATCCAGGAATAGACTTGTAACAAATCATATCATTGCTGTTGTAAGCAAAGTGTGGTATTTTGTAATAAGTGAGACTCAACAAACACAAAAGTCAGGAGCAAAACCAATTCATGTGCCCCAAGCAACATTACACAACATAATCAAGAAAGATATCCATCTGATAAAATTAACACAAGTTATGTGTACACAGGCTGCTTCCACAACATATCTGTTCAGCTATCACATACCTCGAGCAGCTGAAGAGTGAAACAAGTATTCATACTCTTTCACATGAAGACATACTGGCTAATCTATAGAATGCAATTGTTATGGATTTTATGTGACCTTATCATTAAAATGGGGAACTGTCATCCTGGTATGATACATGGTTAATGGAAAGGAATCATGGAAGAGTGGTGTGCTTATGATGTGATTTCTTTAGTGTAGAGCCAGTTTCAAGAGAAACTGCTGCAGGGCCATTGTTAAGATCTATAGCTGTCAGGTAGAGCATGACCAGGTATGGACTGTTGAGGCTCTTAAGATAATTTTGATACAACATACTTAGATTCTGTAGTAACCAGTACATGCATTAACACTCAATATAATAACCATTATTGACCATGACATCAGTACCATTCTAGTGTTGTAATTATTAACTAGCAAGCCATTTTTAAGTGAGAAACAGCTAAATTTAGCTACATGTTATATATTTTGAGGTTAACTACTTAATTGTATTATAAATTTGGGAATGGAAATAATGAATGAACTTCATCCAAGACACTATAACAATTTATAAATATAATTCTTTTTGCCAAGTGTCAAAATAAAAACACTTTTACTTATTCTTCTTAATAGTATAAATATATACTGTGTTGTTTTGGGGCTTAGGATTCTTCTACAGTAAGTGTCTGTGACTTGTTAGCAATAAATTCAACGATGAATGAATGGCATGCACTTCACATGTTTTTAAATATATATTCACAACAAGTTAAACATATGTGCAACAAAGTCTTCACACTATAGAGATTATAGGCATATCATAAGCACTATATGTATAGTTCTCTTCTTCTTGTTAATATTCCACTTAGGACTATTAAGTTACTTTAGAATTTCAGTTGACAAGCTGAACTATCTTCTCTATTACTATCACACTAGTATTCTGTGTGTAATTCCCTTACAGTTGTGCTGCGAGTTACCATAATTGTTTGGTCTTTTTTTCTTCTGAAGATCCTCTGTTTCTTTTGTCAAAGTGCACTCAGGCTGATTCAATTACTTTAGAACCACACTTTGGAATAAATTCTTCTTCTCATCTCCTTTCCACTGTTAGTCTTACTCTAACATATTAAATGTTAGGCCTATGCCAATTGTTAGGCTTATCACTTCTATAATAGTTAACTTTTCCTTTTGGAACTTTACTTTCTTCAGCTATTTTCTGTCTTTTATTATATGTTTGCTGTTTCCGCTCATCTCACGATTGTCCTAACAAGGTTTTCAGTGATCTTTTTACTTTTGGATTTGGGCATCCTCTATCTCCCCCCTTACTGAATATGCCTCTTAGTCATGTGTTGTTTCAGGGGACTTGACCAGAACTTTTTCACTTTTGAGGGATTTGTTATTCAGGTATTTTATGTTCTGTACTTATCTCCTGTTTCTTATGTTCCACCCCTTCCCTTCTAGAATATTCCAATTCCACCACATCTTTTATCTGCTCAGGGTTTCCGAAGGTATATGACACATACTGCTCCTTTCTGTGGTTCCCGAGTCCATTTGTTTCTTCCATGAAATCCTCACCTCTACTGTAACCTTTTCCTATCACTATTCTGGGTTGTATTTCTCAGTTCATTTGCCTGGTGTTTTCTTCCCTTTCTCCTGATAATTGTTGTATTTTCATGTTTTCTTCCCATTAGATACGTTACCTTATCAGGTCCCTGGATGCACATTTCCATCTTCCCTTGGGAGACATCATCAGTTCTATAACTGTTTATCTGTGGTGGGTACTCTATACCTGATTTACCATTCCAGATGCTGCCAGGTGTTGCTTGATTGACTCCTTCCAATGTCTTCTATGCATTGATATAAAATGTAGAAAAAAAACCACATAAAATAACATGTCGCAAGGTTATTTTCCACCCACTGTTGAGATGGGGTGTTCTGCTGGACTACTTGTAGATGTATGTCATGGTCTTTTTACTTCATAAATATGTTTGTCCCAGACCATACGCTCATGGACTAACATGAGTAAAGCAGACAGGGATTGTTGTCAGTCTTTGATGATCCATGGTGTTTGACACTTGTCCTACCGCAGACCTGATGTATAATTCCAGATGCTGTAAGGTGGTGGATGATGCACTCCGTCAATGTGATTGCTCTGCTTTTCAATATAAGATATTATGGTCACCCATTGCACTGTCTCTGGTACTGTGATCCTCTAGGCTCTTCAGGGCTTTATTTCCCTCCTCCTTCTAGTGAAGTATGGGAGTCCTTGCCACTTGGCAGTTCCTTGCTGTTTGGGTGCTAAACCATGGAGACATGTCCTCCTGACTGTGCATAACACCACTCAGAGAGGATGGCAGTGGCATTCTGTGGGTGTCAGTGGTGTAACTCCCTTCCTAATGCAGTCCTGGCTCTTGATGCCCCTGGCCAAAATGCAAAAGAAAATTCCAGTACTAGATAATCTTGAGGGTTTCCATGAGGTTGTTTTTTGTGGTATATTCAATAGCAAAGCTGCTCCCTAGTTGCTACGTAAGCTCAAGCCTTGACCAACTGACTTTTTCTCATTCTTGAAACAACGGCTTTGTTTTACACATAAAAAAATATTTTACTCAATTTAAAGCATTTAAATCCTATCATGGCAGCTTTTGTGGAATTTTATATTTTCTTGGTGGATTTTGTTCAATAGAGAATGTTCATTTTTGTTGTAATGGATTTATTTTGAAAAAAAATGGTGGTGTCCTGATTAATGCACTTACAGTAGCATTTCATTTTTTTACATGGAGTTGATTTTCTTATTTCAAGGACTGAATTTTGCATTACTGCAAATAGACACTGATGTTAATGCAGTATCCATTATGTAGGCAAACTGTCTAATGAGCATATAGCTAAAAGTCAAGACAACCATAAACAAAAGGAATGAGACATGCAGCAATGAACAAAAATCTTGAATATAAGACCTTGATCAGATACCTTATACACAGGCAGCAAAATTCAGGTAGCACTTGCTACCTCTGCCTGGGTCTTGTTTTTTATTGCAAATGGTGGTGGCCACAAATGCTCAATTAACTGCTCACTGGCAAATAATTTGTTTAACATTCTTCACAAGTATACAGTATATCAATCTCAAAGTGATATCTTCTTGTCTGGCTGACATTTTGTGAACATCTGCCTGCTAAAGACCAAAAAAACACCTGCATTGGGTGGGAAAGTGTTAGTTTCCAACCCTGACAAATTTTAATTTATATAATTCAGGGCAAAAATCTATGGTTACCTTTGCTTTTGAGGCTGTTGTCCGTCTGTTATTTGGTTGTCATTGTGTGAACTCTGGCAGGACAAAATGTGGTTAATGTCTATATATGATGGTTATATATAATATTCACAAAGGCTATGCCATATATGGAGGCCAAACTGTCAAGAATGTACTTTGATAAATCACGCTGAATTAAGATTAACAGTAGAGCTGGGAATTTAGTGATATTTATAATTAATTCATTGATGGCCCCATTAATTGATCCCATTTGATGAATTAATTAGTAGTGTTCCTCAAATTATGGTAAATACAAGCAAAAAAGAAAAATAAGTTGGCAGCAGATCTAGCCAGATATTGCCTTCCCTTTAGTTAGCAGTTAAAAGGGATGGGGAAAAATAAATAAAAAAGTTGGAGGCAGGTACTGCAGATCTGTAGCATTTCCTCTAACAGCAGTCCAAATTAATGACAGTGGCAGATAACCATATTAGCTTTTCTATAACAAAGACAGAGTGAGAAAGCTTTGTGGCAGTGGGAATTGAACCTGAGACCCTCAGATTATGAGCTCACCTGCAACTCGCCAAAACTGAGCAAACTTGAGGTACAAAAACTTTCAGTTAATTTATTAGTTTACATGACACTGCTTA